TACATTTGTCTCTCCCTTGGTGGATGCCTAGTTTCCTGTAAACTGTGGCAAAGTTTTTAGCAGTAATTCTAGCTTTGGGAGCATATCTTTCCTGCATCGCTGGTTTGAGATTGGGACAAAAGAAATTTCTAAACTCTAAGTTAGGCATGCTAGAGGTTCCTCCATTTCTCAAGTAACTTTGGAACTGGTCTACAAGCCAAGAAGGCTTCCTGTTAATGATTCTTTTCCTCTTTGGCACTTTGAAGTCTTTTGCTTCTTTCATTAGCAGTTGTTGGCATTCCTTCCCAAGTGGATTTTTATGTTTTGATCCAACCATGAGATATACCATTTAGGCCACAGACACCTATAAATAGATCTTATGCCCAGCTATTTCCTGTTGCACAAGTATTGTACGAGAAGTATTCCATGCACTGTTTCATATTAATATAATTGGTGCATTTATGATCTAATTCCATTTGTGTTCTACAACATTCAAAACTATTCTTGCATTTTTCATAAGCTCTTTTTTTCTTTGTGTGCAGATCTTCTATCCATACTTGTTTTTTATATAGTTATTTTAGACAAACTACAATAGCCAATGGCTTCACCTACTCTTGACTCACCCTGGTCATCCTCACCTAGCGATTCATTTTGTGGATCTTTCAATATACGTATAGAGGGAGAGATTCCGGACGAAATTTTACCTGTTCTGGAAGACCCAACCTCTTCTGTGTCCTATAACCATAATATCCCAAAACCTCCTCCTCCTGTCCCTAGTAAAACCTATTCATGGAACAAATATTTCAAAAGGCTTTCACGGAGTTGCTCTGTCCCAAAGGAAACAATGGATACATGGGACAAGCTTTTTAAAGATGGATATGGTGCTGATGTCTATATTTTCACCGAGGATGAATCATATATTCCAGCTCATTCTAGTGTTCTGGTGAGTTAATTGAATTGATCCCATAGTTGCATCACTAGAAATTCCTCAATGAAAATTCCTCAATGAAATTTCTGGATGTGGCTTAAAGGTTTTCCTTTTATATTGAATGTGCAGAGCATTGCATCACCGGTGCTAGGTAATTTCTTGCAGCAATCAAAAGTTAAAAATGGCATGAGATACATTAAGATCCCTGGGGTACCTTATGAAGCTGTCCACACTTTCATTCGTTTTCTTTACTCATCCTGGTATGTTGGAATTATGTTGTTCAGTAAGCTATCCCCTTCCAATGATTAATTGCTTATTTTAGCTAAATTTCTTGCAATATTTTCTTGTGTGTCTTATGCAGCTATGAAAAGGAAGAGATGAAGAAATTTGTTCTCCATTTGTTGGTTTTGTCACACTCCTACTCAGTTCCATCACTAAAAAGAGTTTGTATATATCTTCTTGAGCAAGGATGGCTAAGAAAAGAAAACGTGGTTGATGTGCTTCAATTGGCGAGGAACTGTGATGCACCACGGCTCTCCTTAATTTGTGTTCGTATGATTGTGAAGGACTTTAAAGCTATATCATCAACTGAAGGCTGGAAAGTGATGAAGCAAGTTAATCCTGCACTTGAACAAGAGCTGCTAGAGTCTGTTGTTGAAGCAGATTCTGTAAGCTGGTTTCTCTTTCCTTTTTCAAAGATTTTACCTTACCTCTGTATGGTTTGTGGGGCGGGGGTGGGATGGGGGGGGAGATACATTTTTGTTTTGTAAAAAGAAAAGATTTTAGGTTTTCAACAAGGTGGTATTTTTGTATCTAATTGAATGTTTATGCAAGCGTAAAGTCATCAGTACTCTTTTAGTTCACTCCTTTAAATTTGGGATCTTAGATTCAACTTTTTGGTGCCAGAGGAAGGAAGAGAGGTTGAAGAAAAAGGAAGAGAGAAAAGTGTACTTGCAACTGTACGAGGCAATGGAAGCCCTCCTTCACATATGCAGGGATGGATGTAGGACCATAGGTCCCCGTGACAAGGTGTTCAGAGGAAGCCAGGTTGCTTGTGATTTCCCTGCTTGCAAGGGGCTTGAGACCTTAGTTCGTCATTTCTCCAGCTGTAAAACCCGGGTTCCTGGTGGATGTGCTCACTGCAAGCGCATGTGGCAGCTTCTTGATCTGCATTCTCGTATTTGTGATGAGCCTGATTCATGCAAGGTCCCTTTGTGTAGGTAAGCATGAGAAATCCTGTGGGACTTTGGTGTTGCTGCCAGTAATATGGATGCCATGTGCCACTATGATTGAAATGATTTTTGCATAATTACTCTCTGTGGTTTCAGGCATTTCAAGGAAAAAATGCAGCAGCAGACCAAGAAAGATGAAGCTAAATGGAAGTTGTTGGTGAGTAAGGTGGTAGCAGCAAAGCTGGGACCAATCTCAGGTCGGCGTGCAAGTTTCTTATGACCTCCAGCATTTCAAAGCAAAATGTATCAACTGAAGAATGATTTATCGTAGCTTTTTTATTTATCAATTAAATTTAAATATATCGAGAATCGTCTGTTTCTTTTGTGGGGTGGGGGTGTCAAGTAAATGTAATAAGCATATGATTTCTGACTGACGCTATTGACTTGGCCTCTCACTATCACTTCCTTTATCGTTTCCTTCTTGTAAGCCCCATTGGAGGGATTTCAACTAGATGACGAGTATGAGATTTTTGGCATGTTCAGCTTTATGCTGTTGAACAACCACCTTCCATGCTACCTACGGCTACTGAAAACGTTATAACCTTATGCATAGTTTGCCTCTCAAACATAAGTCTAGCAAAGCACATTTTCTACTGCTCCCTGTTTTATGTAAGCCTTTTAGTACTGACAGTGACCCTAAAACTAGGGCCCTCGTAACAAATTCACTACGATTTATGAATCATCATCGAGCATTCCCAAGATAAGCCAGGCTTCGGTGAGAATATGACAAGCATTCATCATAATAATAATTAATCATCAGTCTTCAGATAATTTCTTCACTCATTCAAGACCAAATATTTTTCAAAAAAATGTATTGGGTAGGGTAGTTAGTCCTACTTCCTTCTCATAAAAAGCTCCACGTAAGTTTTACATTACAACACAATTGCATTAAGCATGACAGTAGAGATGTTCTACATGGGTTGATAACATCACAATAGTATGCTATGCACCATCTGCTAAATTCCTCCTCGTCGTACTAATGTACAGAACTGCATCAATGCCAAAACAGAAAAAGAAATTCCAATTATTCTATTAACCAAGGTAACAACACCACGAGCAATATAACAAGATAATTCATAGAACATTACCATTATTTCCACGAATAAAAGCATCACCATACTTATTTTTCAACTGTCCGTTGACATATTCTTCTGTTTGTTCCATCGCTATATTCATATAACCATCAAGACAAGCAAGAATACCTGCATAAGAAAATTAAGACATCAAAAGGGCTAATCCCTGCATCTTGAATCAACACCAGAAACAAAAACAAAGTCGTGAGAATACAAGAAAAGAAAAACCTATAGGCATGAAAAAAGGATTACAGAAATGGACCTCGATAGTCAACACCAGAATTCAGTTTAACAACAACTGGTCGCCCACGAATTGATTTAAGGAAATCTGCAGGAGTTTTTGTGGTTCCTGTCCCTTTCTCTCCCCCTGCACTCATCTTCTCTATCCTAAATCTTAACTTCTTACACCTCCTGAAATGATATCAAATGTTAAACAAATTCAAACAGTCAAGAAAATAAAGTAAAAGAACACATATGTAACAACACATAAACACAAGCCACCAAAAGACGAATACATATCATAAAGATTCGCAAAACCAGAGCTACTGTAGAGGACAGATACATCAACCAATCTTGGCAGCAAGAGCAGAACTGAGTGACTTTTAAAACAACCCCATCCAAGCAAACAATCCTAGTTTGTTGGTATCAGATTATTAACTCAGTTAAAAGTAACGCTGACACCATATATGAAGAAAACAATAGACAACAAATTTTTTACAGACTTTTCAATCCCTGTACAAACACCAGAGAAAAAGAAATGTTTAAGAAAAGCAGATTGCCACTCAACTGATTGCATAGCTCAAGGAATAGCTAACTAAACCAAACTGATCTAAAAGGCACCCAATTATCAGTTAGAAAGCTCATCAGTCAAAAGGCAATATTCCAAATGATCCTACCATATGCCTAAGTGAATAAGATGGCATCTGACATCATACAAACAATTTTGTTAAGATATGAACACCTCTCCAACCTCCTTCTGCAGAAACATATTGTGCTGTGAGTGAACTTACAACACTTTTAAGTAACGAGGATGCCATCTACAGGTCTACATAAGCATCTAACACACACTTGATTCCAGCCCCGAAGGGGTGCTACAAAAGTCATCCTTTTGATTATAGAATATATGTCGTCGAAACAGTCCCATGAAATGAAATTGATTACACAAACAAAGGATATATCTTTTTTCTTTTTTCAAATTAAAAAAGAAAAATTAACAAAAGTGCTAGACCTAAAACCCATGATATCAACAAAATTATCAACAAATTCTTTAAATTCTTCACCGAAAATCACTTAACACATTTATGCCCATATTGAGTTTGGCCTAATTGCATTTTCATCGTCATAAATATCTCAACAGTAACCTTACTCAGACAATAGATCAAATTCAAGAAACCCTAAAGGGCAAGTTCAAAAAATTCTTTAATAAATGTAAACAAGAACAACGAAAGGAGTTCATATAAGAGCTACGACTAAAAGAAAAAAAGTGCTATGAAAGATAAAGAAGAAGATGCGGATCAAGCACACACCTTTTTGGTTCCGGAGCTTGAACTTTGAGAGAGCGCGAGAAAGACAGTGACAAACTAACCGGGAAGCCCTGACTGCCTTATATATTAAGGTGGGAGTTTGGACCATGGGGTCTGTTTGTAAGCCCACCGCAGTCGTTGGGCCTTATTCGTGGATTCGCCCTTTTTTTTTTTTTATTGGTCAAACTTAGGTCGAAGTTTCACAAGAAATGAATTTCCACCTGGCCTGCACAAAATGGAACCCAGCCAACCAATAACAGCATAAACAGATCCTACCCGCCCTGATTAAAAGATACAGAGAATCTGAGATCCTCTCTGTATATAATTTGTGACACATTCTCCGGTTCGATCGACGATCGTGGTCACATATACAAACTCCGATCAAAGTCAGGAGCTTTTGTATCTTTTTCCAATTCAATTCACTTGGGAACCATGATACCACTCAGAAAACCACTTCCCCACCTCCTCTTCAAACCCAATTTCAAATCTTCATCACTCCAAGCACTTGTTTCATACTCAAAAAAATCTGAAACAAGCAGTACCCAGATATCAAATTCACCAAAACAAGCAAACCCCATATTCAAAATCGCACCTTTTGATCCTATTTCACCAGCATTCCTTCAAACCGGGTTAGTGTTGTCATATGCTGGTTCTAAATCCTGTTTTAACAATGATGCTCATGTTATCGATACCCACTCGCCTAAATCTCCAAAGCAAGAAAAATCAGTTTCTAGAGCCACCAAATATGGTCCAATTTTATACAGACTAATACCAAACAGGCCATTGTCAACTGCAAATTCTGACCCGTCACGTTCCAAACCATTGGATTCTGCGGAGCCAG